TGGGCCACTCAATTCACAACATTACCCTAACCCTAACCCTAACCCTAACCCTACCCCTACCACTAACCCTACCCCTACCCCTCACACCAGATACTGCCTGGTTTTCGGACCCCCCCCAGACCCCCCCAATAAAGCAAAAATGCACGTTTCAGAGTGGCCTTTTATTGTGGCCAGCCTAAGGCACACCTGTGCAATAATCATGCTGTCTAATCAGCATCTTGATATGCCACACCTGTGAGGTGGGATGGATTATTTCGACAAAGGAGAAGTGCTCACTATCACAGATTTGTTCAGATTTGTGAACAATATTTGAGAGAAATGGTTATTTTGTGTATAAAGAAAATGTTTTAGATCTTTGAGTTCATCTCATGAAAAATGGGAGCAAAACAAAAGTGTTGCGTTTATATTTTTGTTCAGTGTAGATACATCTCCTTGTCTGGTGGGTCATTTGACCTGCATGGGTTAGCGCTGATTGAATCATTGGAAGATAAGCTCACAGCTCAACACCAGTCGGTTTCCCCTTCAGTCCCAAACCATGCACGAGAAATTAAATGCAAGCTCAGCAGTGTTGGTCAATGTCACAGAGAAAAACAAAAAGAGCCAAATGGCTAATCGGACATGGGTCTTGTGTATCATTTTTGTGGGAGATGTCAATGACAACATACAGAGCAGAAAGATTCCCACTGACAATTATGCAAATGTTGATGTGACATGCGAGTCTGCGCCCAGCGTGATGAGACCAGAGGGAAATTCACCAATACTTGCTCTGTTGTCGCCGCTGCTACCGTTAGCATTAACATTGTTCACACATCCCCTCATCTCAGGCCTCTTCCACACCCCTCCCCCTCTCCCTTCTTACCCCCATCACCCCACCACCACCACCACCACCACCACCACCACCACCACCACCACGTCTCCATCTCCTCCACCTCCTCCTCCCTGCGTTCTCTCTTTCCTGTTCTCGCTGCGGTGTTGCCATAGCAACGGAGAAATTTGGGAATACCTCCGTCCTTCAGAGCGCGAGAGAGAGATAGAACGAGAGAGGGTGAGGATGGGAGACAGACAGAGAGTAAAGGGGTAGACAGAAGAAGAAGAAGAGACAAGAGGCGAGGAGACGAGGGAAGGGAAGGAAGTGTGGAAAGGACTGTTAATTAAAAGACGGAGAGCGAGCGGCTGTGACTCACTGCCTGAATGGACACCATTGCCTGTCACTTAGCCCCCTGACTCCAAGCGTTTGTCCCCCTCCTCCACCGCTCGCTCACTCCCCTAAAAGCTACCCTCCCATTGATATTCAGTCTCTGTGATGAAGAAGACGCCACTGTTATCTGACTAGGGGGGTGGGGGGGGTGGGTTTTGACTGAGATGGCACCGTGTCGCACAGCCATGGCGTAGCTTCACGCTGGGCCCTATGCACGCCATTTGTTTGACGATTCCATGTGTGCTGGATGTCTCCATTTGTAGTGAAGCTGCAGTTTCCATGACAACGCCCAGACTGAAATAGCACCCCCAGTTTCCTCCCTCTCCTCCGCGCACAATACACTCATAACTGTTCATTCCTGATCCTGGGCTTCTTTCTACCGGGGCCGAGATGTCTCATACTGCTCATCTCCATTCATCATATGGATTGAAGCACATGAACCCCCCCCCCAACAGTCCCCATCATCGCTTTCACACACACACAGACACACACATATGCGCGCACACACACACGCATCACTTCTCCTCCCACCTCTTATCTCTCATTTTCAGTCTCTCGGTCGCCCTGCAACAGATTCTGTCAACATGCATACACCTCTGTGTTGCCATGACAACGGTCTTGAAAATCACTGCAATTATTTCAACAAAGACAAAAACCCTACAGCCACTTGGGGGAGAGGGAGGGAGAAAAAGGACAGTGTGTGTGTGTGTGTGTGTGTGTGTGTGTGTGTGTGTGTGTGTGTGTGTGTGTGTGTGTGTGTGTGTGTTTGTGTCACAGAGAAAGATTCAGAGTTGTGAGTCTGTGCTTGCGTGTTTAGTGACCCATCGATGAACTGGTGTGTATCAAGAGTAGCTCAATGTGCATACAGTGTGATGTTGTGTGTGTGTGTGTGTGTGTGTGTGCATGTATGTGTGTGAGTGTGTGTGTGTGTGTGTGTGTGTGTGTGTGTGTGCATGAGTGTGTGTGTGTGTGTGCATGTGTGTGTGTGTGTGCGCGCGCGTGTGCCTACAGTATGTCTCTTTGCCTTATATGGTGAAACTCTTTTCTTTCCGCCACCCAGGCCCTTGAGTATGTTGTTCTGTAAGTCAGTGTAGGTGCACTTACTGAACCATTTGCACACGTGTGTTTTTTCAAAACAAACCTGTACCAGTTAGTACCACGTATGTGCGGGTGTGTGTGCGGGTGTGTGTGTGTGTGTGTGTGTGTGTGTGTGTGTGTGTGTGTGTGTGTGTGTGTGTGTGTGTGTGTGTGTGTGTGTGTGTGTGTGTGCTACAGACAGTGAGAGCAATACTGTGCACTGATGGGATATAGAGAGATAGTAAAACAGATGGGCATGAGAGATCTGCACAGTGGAAGAAAGTTTACTAAGTACTCAAACGTTACTTTATTATTTCCAATGTGTGCTACTTACTATATGGTGGCAAATGCGCTACAACGGCCCAAAACATTTACATTTTGAGAAATGCCCTGCACTCAAAAACTATGCAAATCTATAAACACAAAGTGCCAAAACACATGCAAATGAAGAAAAACAACAGTAACAGGGACACTAAAAATGTTTGCACAGCTGGGACAAGAGCGGGGAAGTTGGCCAACGATCAGTGTCACTGGAAACTTACTTACAATCTACGTTTTTTTGGCTTATTATAACAATGTGATTCCATCATTGCACTGTTGGAGGAGGCTGGGACCTAAGCATTTCATCGTCATAACTACACCATAGCTATGTACGTATGACTAATAAAAGCCTTGAACTTGAACCTTCCAAGGGTTATAAAGTGTTATAAAGAGTTAATCATTTTCAAAATTGAAAATGTTTTGTAAGTATATTTAAAACGAGTTACATTAGTTATCTAGCTTACAGCAGATCTGCAATAATATTGCAAGGAATCGAGAGATCATATTGTTAAACAAGCCAACACAACTTAATGAAGTGTGTTATTTGCATGTGTTTTGGCACATTTGTATTTTTATATTTGCATCGAAAGTGCAGCACGTTTCTCTTCTTCTGTAAGTGTTTTTGGCCAATGTAGCGCCTTTATAAATACAGTAGAGTATACTTAAACACTTAACATAACATTTGCAATACATTAAAAAATGAGTATGTTTTAAGAACAGAAAATATGCATTATAAAACAGTAATGTGCAGTACTGTACTTCTTCTCAAAGCATAAGGCTCGTGATAATCTACATCATTTTGTGATTTTCATCAAATTCCATTACAGGACCAAAACTGCGGCTCTCAACACAATATCCATGAGTTCACAGTGAAAAACCACATCTTTAAAAACTGGTCTCATAAAAAAGTCTGAATGATATCCCTTAATAGCAGGAACTGTAGTTTTTACCAAACATTTTTCAAAGAGGAGATAACTGTGTATTTTTTGGGACTATTTTCAGCCACAGATTTGGTGCTCTATTGAGTATTTACAGCAGGCATTGACTCCAAAAAACTACAATGCCGCTGTTTGTTGTACTGTAATAAAGAAACATGTCACCCAGTGCACTGTTGTGGTTTACTCATGTATTATTAATAGTTTTTGGATGTCTATTGCACAGAGGAATGCGCTATTTTGGGCAACACAGGATTTGTTGACAATAGAAAAAGATCAAATACCACTAGACTTCCCTGCGAGTAAAATGTTGATGCATGGTGTGTTTTTTACATTGCAGTATACTTTCATGTGTGAGACAATGGATGCTCTTTTACTTAAGATCAATGGGAATTAAGTCTTAATTTAACGTTTCATGCCACCCCTGTTAATACTGTATCACTTAGTATAACAGATCCTATCTTACCATTATCAAATATGATGTCAACGCTGTATAGCTTTAAATCTTCACACTCACTAATCCCATTGTATCCCATAAAGCTGCTTTGATACTAACAGATACTTACATGTGTGTCGAGTCAGGGAAAACACTCCGGGCCCTGTAATTTTAGGGCCAAACCCACGGCGGATGACACAGCTAGTTATAATGAGTGTTTGTGGCCCCGAGCCACTGTGTAAGAGAGTGTGTGTGTGTGTGTTTTTTATGCTCGTAGGAGTTCAATTTAAGAAGCCTGTCTTTACTTAACCCATTTCTTTTTTTACATTGTTCCCCAGTCCTTAAGAATGTAAGACTTTAAAGTGGAGTTATCCACAGTGAGGGGCTAAATATGTATCCTTATGTTCAAAAGATGACTCAAATATGTCAGCCGATGGGGGGGTTGCCGTGTCACCGCACAGCAGGGGATTGGCAGAGACAGTGATTTCGGACTTCAGGCGGCGATGAAGTAGATTGGGATCAGAAATCCTTGGGGAGAGAGAGAGAGACGAGGTCAGGTAGGAGGGCTATAAAAGCACTGCCTCCTCTTCTGGAACATGTACTTAATGTCAACTCGGGTCTGACTGGAGATTGGGGATGCTCTGCAGTCCTCCTCTGTCTGAAACTCATTTGACTTAAACAGCAAAATGTGTTAACAAGTTTGCTGAGGTAAGTGCAAGTGTTCATTTCCATCATCTGCGTAATCTGTTTTGACATTTTGTTGCATATGTACTCAACTGTACAGCCTGAATATTTAAATCGAGTTGACATAAATACTACTGTAGACTGAAATGTAAAAATGACCATGCATAGATATTTTAAATGTGATATGACTTATTTAAAAGACACATTTTTGCACAACACTTGCCTGACTAAATGCAATGCAAAAAAAGTGTTTATCATATTCTGCTCTTAATGTTAGTTTATAATTTAAATGTCTGAATTTGTTTTCTCCTTCCTGTAAGCAGAAGTTAGAGATTGAAAAGTCAAAAAGATGTCCATATTCCAGAAAAGTTTGGGCTGTCTCTTCCTCTTCTGTCTCATCTGCTCGACTGAGTGCCGGGTGCTGAAGTTTGTCGTGGCTGTAAGTCGACTCTGTTCCCTTTTTCTTTCTGTGTGTGTGTTTTATATTGATAACATTTGAACATTAGTATTGGAATTTAACATTAAGTTCTTTTACAACCTTTTAACATAATCTGGAAGCCACTTTAGATCACATGACTCTGATATGACATTGTGCATGGTTGCTGATGACACAGTTTTTTTCTGCTCACTGAGCATTACTGTATTTACACATCCATGTGACAAAGGATTACTTTGAGCCTAAACTCCAACAGTGTCATGCATATCTCCCCCAGACACTGCTGCTCCGTTATAAACCTCTTTGCATATCTTTCTTTCACACCATAGTTCAATGGTATAAAAGACAATGGACGGATTGAGTGAACATCAAATATTCTTCCTACAATGTGACAACACTAGTGTCATGACCCAACACACATAGTATGTATACTGGTTTATGTTACATTGACAGTTGACAATTTAATATACAAATACCATTTTAGCTAAAGTAAAGCAAAACAATTATTAAGCTTGCTAACTTACTATCTAGTAGTTTTAATTTATTGTTTAAAGTTGCATTAGTTTGGTTATTTTCTGTATTAGTCTGTTTTTTATTGTATAGTTGTAATGTTTGCTAGTTTTTCATTGATTTAATGTCCAACTATTTTATTACAATTCAGTGGAGTTCAGTTGCGTTTGGGTTATTTCAGCATGTATTATTATGTGCCGCTTTCCACCTTCTTCTCCAGTAGGACTCAGATGAGGGTGTTGCACTTTCCCTTACATGTGATGTTTTTTTTTTTTCTTTTCTTTCCGTTAACTGTCAAGTGGGAAATAAGTATTTTTTGTGTTTCTCTTAGTATCCTACGATACTTTTATGTTTGGCTGAATACGTTTGGCTGAATACGTTTGGCTGTGAAAAAGAAATATGAAAGACAGACCATCTATTTATATATATTTTTTTAGAAAGGTGCAGGTAATATAAGATTATTTTCTTCTCCCTGCTCCTTTTCGGTCAATGGTGTGTTTACAGAGACATGATGTGTTAACAATTATTATACATTCAGTTGTGCATACCATGAACGGAACAAATACAAATGAAATGAAATGTATTTAGTCGTAAGGTGTTTTGGATCAAGAACGTGTTGGAAAATAAGAATTGTCTCCAAGAGAAAACCTCAACCTTCGTGACTTGACTTTGTGGTTCGTTTGACGTTTTACATCCAGATTGTTGGTAAAGTTCATCCCACTGTGGTGCTAGCAGGAGTGACTCAGATGTGTCTATACGCCACTGTAACCAACCTGTGTGTCATGTAACTGCTCAGAAAGTGAGTCCTCAGGTTAATAATACGAACGCAGCAGGTCCACTATCTGTGTCATCAGAATGACTGTTCTAGCAAATCCAGACTGAACTCTTCCATAACACAGGTTTCTATTTCTGACTCGTGTCTCATAATGTATTTATTCCATAAGTACACGGTGTAATGGCTGGCAAAGCAGCATGGCGTCTGAATTTGTGTGACATAATCTGTTATGACTTTTAAGGTGTTTCGACATGGAGATCGATCTCCCATTGAGTCGTATCCCAGGGATCCTCATGGAGAGGAAGTGTGGGCTCAGGGTTTCGGACAGCTGACTGAGGTAGTCTGCGTGTGTTAGTGTGTGTGTGTCTGTGTGTGTCATCATTATAATTTTGTCAAG